TACGGTGGTACTTACGGTGGTACTTACGGTGGTACTTACGGTGGTACTTACGGTGGTACTTACAGGGGTACTTACGGTGGTACTTACGGTGGTACTTACGGTGGTACTTACGGTGGTACTTACAGTGGTACTTACAGTGGTACTTACAGTGGTACTTCTAGGTACTTCTAGGTACTTACAGTGGTACTTCTAGTGGTACTTCTAGGTACTTATTGTGGTACTTACAGTGGTACTTCTAGGTACTTACAGTGGTACTTAGAGGTACTTATTGTGGTACTTACAGTGGTACTTCTAGGTACTTATTGTGATAATTCTAGATACAGCTGTAACTTAGTAATTCAAGGACACTACAGTATTATTCCTATGTAGTAAATGTGGTACTTCTACATACATACATACAGAAGTCATTTGTAGGATTGTTTGACTATAAAACATAAAACAACATTATGTAAAACAAACGTCTTTATTAATATGGAATAAGTAGCACAGAAAGGACAGTATAAATACATTTAATGCATATTTCAAAACAAGTTTCAAGGACAAGGGAAACACTGCAAGAACTAGGTACCCAACCCAAGTAACAAGAATTACACATTACCAGGTACTTACCAGCCAAGTACCAGGTACTTACCAGCAAGTACCAGGTACTTACCAGCAAGTACCAGGTACTTAACAGCAAGTACCAGGTACTTAACAGCAAGTACCAGGTACTTACCATAGGGACTGGCCCATAATAAGACAAAGGACTTTAACATAAGTTCCAGTGATAACCCCAGTAATTATATAGTAAGTACCAGGTACTTACCATAGGAACTGGCCCATAATAAGACAAAGGACTTACCCATAAGTACTAGTGATACCAGTAATTATATAGTATACCATGTACTTACCAGCAAGTACCATGTACTTACCAGCAAGTACCAGGTACTTACCATAGGGACTGGCCCATAATAAGACAAAGGACTTTAACATAAGTACCAGTGATAACACCAGTAATTATATAGTAAGTACCAGGTACTTACCATAGGAACTGGCCCATAATAAGACAAAGGACTTACCCATAAGTACTAGTGATACCAGTAATTATATAGTATACCATGTACTTACCAGCAAGTACCATGTACTTACCAGCAAGTACCAGGTACTTACCAGCCAAGTACCAGGTACTTACCAGCCAAGTACCAGGTACTTACCAGCAAGTACCAGGTACTTACAAGCCAAGTACCAGGTACTTACCAGCAAGTACCAGGTACTTAACAGCAAGTACCAGGTACTTAACAGCAAGTACCAGGTACTTACCAGCAAGTACCAGGTACTTACCAGCATGTACCAGGTACTTACCAGCAAGTACCAGGTACTTACCAGCAAGTACCAGTTACTTAACAGCAAGTACCAGGTACTTACCAGCAAGTACCAGGTACTTACCATAGGGACTGGCCCATAATAAGACAAAGGACTTTAACATAAGTACCAGTGATAACACCAGTAATTATACAGTAAGTACCAGGTACTTACCATAGGGACTGGCCCATAATAAGACAAAGGACTTTAACATAAGTACCAGTGATAACACCAGTAATTATATAGTAAGTACCAGGTACTTACCATAGGAACTGGCCCATAATAAGACAAAGGACTTACCCATAAGTACTAGTGATACCAGTAATTATATAGTATACCATGTACTTACCAGCAAGTACCAGGTACTTACCAGCAAGTACCAGGTACTTACCAGCAAGTACCAGGTACTTACCAGCAAGTACCAGGTACTTACCAGCAAGTACTAGGTACTTAACAGCAAGTACCAGGTACTTACCAGCAAGTACCAGGTACTTGCTGGTAAGTACATGGTATACTATATAATTACTGGTATCACTAGTACTTATGGGTAAGTCCTTTGTCTTATTATGGGCCAGTTCCTATGGTAAGTACCTGGTACTTACTATATAATTACTGGTGTTATCACTGGTACTTATGTTAAAGTCCTTTGTCTTATTATGGGCCAGTCCCTATGGTAAGTACCTGGTACTTACTGTATAATTACTGGTGTTATCACTGGTACTTATGTTAAAGTCCTTTGTCTTATTATGGGCCAGTCCCTATGGTAAGTACCTGGTACTTGCTGGTAAGTACCTGGTACTTGCTGGACTTGCTGGTAAGTACCTGGTACTTGCTGTTAAGTACCTGGTACTTGCTGGTAAGTACCTGGTACTTGGCTGGTAAGTACCTGGTACTTGCTGGTAAGTACCTGGTACTTGCTGGTAAGTACCTGGTACTTGGCTGGTAAGTACCTGGTACTTGCTGGTAAGTACCTGGTACTTGCTGGTAAGTACATGGTACTTGCTGGTAAGTACATGGTATACTATATAATTACTGGTATCACTAGTACTTATGGGTAAGTCCTTTGTCTTATTATGGGCCAGTTCCTATGGTAAGTACCTGGTACTTACTATATAATTACTGGTGTTATCACTGGTACTTATGTTAAAGTCCTTTGTCTTATTATGGGCCAGTCCCTATGGTAAGTACCTGGTACTTGCTGGTAAGTACATGGTACTTGCTGGTAAGTACATGGTATACTATATAATTACTGGTATCACTAGTACTTATGGGTAAGTCCTTTGTCTTATTATGGGCCAGTTCCTATGGTAAGTACCTGGTACTTACTATATAATTACTGGTGTTATCACTGGTACTTATGTTAAAGTCCTTTGTCTTATTATGGGCCAGTCCCTATGGTAAGTACCTGGTACTTACTGTATAATTACTGGTGTTATCACTGGTACTTATGTTAAAGTCCTTTGTCTTATTATGGGCCAGTCCCTATGGTAAGTACCTGGTACTTGCTGTTAAGTACCTGGTACTTGCTGGTAAGTACCTGGTACTTGCTGGTAAGTACCTGGTACTTGGCTGGTAAGTACCTGGTAATGTGTAATTCTTGTTACTTGGGTTGGGTACCTAGTTCTTGCAGTGTTTCCCTTGTCCTTGAAACTTGTTTTGAAATATGCATTAAATGTATTTATACTGTCCTTTCTGTGCTACTTATTCCATATTAATAAAGACGTTTGTTTTACATAATGTTGTTTTATGTTTTATAGTCAAACAATCCTACAAATGACCTCTGTATGTATGTATGTAGAAGTACCACATTTACTACATAGGAATAATACTGTAGTGTCCTTGAATTACTAAGTAAGTAAGTACCACCGTAAGTACCACCGTAAGTACCACCGTAAGTACCACCGTAAGTACCACCGTAAGTACCACCGTAAGTACCACTGTAAGTACCTAGAAGTACCACTGTAAGTACCATGGACTTACCGGCCCGTAATGTAAAGTGTTACCGGAAAACCAAGTTGGAGATCGATATTTGCATAAATTAAAAATAGTCATATAATAAAACATTTATTAACCTCGCTTGCTCGGTCTGTATGGAGAAATATCAGACCTTGGCCTTTTTGCACAGATCTCGCCACGGCTCGGTCTGTACATTAAAGCTGCACTAACTGACTTTGGGATTTTGAAGCCGCGGACTCGCTGGCCTCTCTCTTTCTGCCCCCCACACACACTCACTATTGGGACGGAGCTAGCGTCTCCCAACATGGATAATACATGGACATGGATTTGCACGTGGATGGCGTGACCATAGAATGATAGAACCGGGAAGCGCGGAGGAACGAGACTTTCTTTTAGACCGCTGTCTTGCTGTGTAAGCAGTAACCGGTGACAAAGACACACAAAGTTTCAGGTTAGCTCCTCGGCTTGTTGTGCTAACTCAGCCGTCTATGCTAACAAGACCTGTAGATTTCTTTTTCCGGTGGAAACGCGGCTATTGCCGAGATTATAACATTAGAACAAACAGAGTTATGTGGTTGTAAAGAAGGTAATTTCAGTCACTTAACAAACCAAAGTAATTTGCTTTGTTTTAAAAAGCAGAAAACCGCTCTGGGTTGGATGTCATACTTGTATAATAACATCATATAGGATTGAATCAGGGGCTTTTAGACAGAACGAGCAGAGGTACATGTTTGTGCCAGAAGTTGCTTGTATGAGTGTGGATGGATCAAAAACAGCTCCAGGTCTGTTGATAAGAAGTTTAGGTATTTCATGACACTTTGAAGCATCTGTGGTTAAAGTTCTAACTCATCATTCTAACATATGCATAAGCCAGTACTTTTCCACTGCATGTTTTGATTTCTGAAGGCCAAGCCAAACTAGCATCGCGGCAAAAGCTGATTGGATGGTGTTCATTCCTCCATGCTGTATATTACCACTTGCAGTCTGTAAAATCATTGTTCGTGCTTGTGTTCGTGCTGTCTATGACAATAAAACATGTCTTCTGTCTGAATTAAAGACACAATACCAGACTTTGTCATCTTCTTCAGAAAGAGCTATATTGTAACATGGATCAAAGCTTAACGTTTATTTAGCATAATATGTCTCCTTTAACAAATTTTGTTTCATAGTTTAATTGTAGTTGGTTGGAAAGATAGGTATTTTAAGGGAGCCTGCAGGGCGTGTGATGTTTGGTGTCATAGATGATCATTATACAGCAGACACAAGCATGTTCAATTTCCCCAATGTTGAAGTGTAATGTGCGTGAGGGTTGTGACATGCTTCAAAATAAAGGTCATTGCATACTGTTTCCATTCTGGTTGGGATTCTAACTCTTTCCTCAAAATGTCAAGTAGCTGCAGGTTTTCATTCCAACACAAAAAGGAGCACACGACTCTTTTTATCAAGTGAGTTCAGTCTCAACCTAGAGACTTGATGACATGAGTGTTTTCAGTCCAAACAAGCTGGTGAGTTCCAGCTTGTTTGGACTGAAAACCTGCAGTGACATGTTGGAATGACACACATCATTTTATCATCTCTAACTGTCCTCATTGGTGTGTTTGTCTCTAATGCGCCTCATCTTTTACACGCCATTCTGCGTGTTCTTCTTTAACGTGTGTCAATATGTGTGTTGGTTTCTAATGCACCTTGTCGCCTTCCTGCAGGTGTTGCACGAGCAGGTGGCTATCCCGGGCAGTGAGCTGAACCTGGTCTACCTGAGTTCCAGAGCTCCAGGTTACAAACCCATCCTCAAAGTGCTGCTAACCCAGGAGAAACTGCCCTTTGGCCTGATGAAGGTGCACCTGATGGTGGCTGTGATGGGCCGACAGTTCCAGAAATCCTTCCCCGCTTTCCCTGACCTCTCCTATACTTTCATCTGGGACAAGACGGACGCGTATGGACAGAAGGTGTACGGACTGGCGCAGGCTGTGGGTGAGTGTGCGGGCTGTGGGCGAGAGCAGCTGTGGGGGAGTGAAATGGAAGCCATTGTCGGTGGTGGAGGATTTCAATATATGTTTGTGTTTCCGCCTAATCCCCTTTGTGTTTAGTTGTGCACATGTGAGTGCACGACCCATAACACAACAATATCAAGGCACAGTGGCTTAGAACAGGGCCTTTCTGAGAGTTTGCATGTCCTCCCTGTGTCTGCGTAGGTCTGGTTTCCTCCACCACTAAAACATGTACAATAGGTATACTCCTCCAGCTCTGGTCTTGACCTAGCCTGGTTGTACCACACCTTAGTGCAAATTACATTTCATACTAAGGTCTGGATTTGCTCCATTGAGCTCCGTTAACAGGTGGGAGGGGTTAACTTTGTTTGCAGATGGAAACGATTGGATCTGAGTTTACCGCGACATATGTAATGCGCCCGAGTCTGTTGTTAGCATTTAGCCTAGCCAGCTCCTTTGCCGCTAACGGAGCCCGTGGGGAGTAGCGCCACAATCTTGACCAGCGATTACATTTGCTAAACATTCCTCTTGCTCCGGCTTCAAATTCTTGATGGAACCAGACCAGATTACTTTACCATCGTATTCATCGCCACTGCCAAACCACAACCTGCCCGTTCGGCGCAAACTCTTGACGTCACCGGCACCGACCTACAACACCTGCCTTCCGCGCTCTCTGAGTAGCCAGTCGAAATACGACCGATTGTATTCGCTAACACAGGGACGAGACCCAGACGGTACATGCAGTGAAATGATGATTGAGCGTAGTGTACGGATGGCTATGGCCAGGCTAGTCTTGACCAAGGTAGGCATCAAGATCTGAAGATGGGGCTCCAGGCACTGTACTTAGGCGATCATCGCTCCTGACGGAGTGGCGTTGGAAGGATGGATCAAATACCGCCCCGGGGTCAATAAAGAATAACTTAATTTAACTAATCAGAACAGAAACAGAAACTGAAAAACATGATGGTTTAGAAGGATCATCGCACACAGCTCCTCTTCAACACATTAGTAACTGGAAAAACTGGAAATATTCAGAACATCCTGCTTCTTTTACTAAGACGGGCAGAATAAAGAAAAGGTAGATGCACAACAGCTTTTCTACAGAAAAGCTTGCGATAGCCTTTTCTGTAGAAAAGCTGTTCAACAGTGTTATTATGTGATCAATAGTGGCAAGCTTTAATGTTGTAAAGTGATGTCTGTGGTGGTGGTGGTGAGGGGGACGTTATGTAAACCAAAACTACCTACTATTACAGCATGGTGATTAAATATCCTCACTTAAATTCTGTCTGCTGAAATTCAATCACTACAATTAAAATTATGATAAAAACACACAAATAAACAGAAAATAGTGTCCTAATCTGTTTAAACTATTTGTTATTTCACCCCAACAGCCAATCATTTACAACGTGTCTTTCTGCCCATCTTTTCCAGTCCTGTGAATATCCTTCCTCTCTGCTCTCATGTTAGGTTCGATGGTCCTTTTGACCAGATGACACTGTTTTTATCTTAACGCTCCACAGAGCAGAGACAAGATAGAGGCCCCAGAGATACCAAATACCAGAAACACTAGAGACCTAAGGCCAGAGAGACCAAAGACTAGAGAGATCAGGGACCAGAGAGACTAGACACCAGAGATACAAGAGACCTTGTAGACTAGTAGAGACTAGTAGATCAGATACACGAGACCAAAGATCGGAGAGAACGTAGACCATAGAGAACAGAGAGACTAGACACCAGGGACCAGAAAGACCGAGATAAGCCTCTCCAGCTTGACTACAGACAAGCCTCACTCTCTCCTGGTCTGACCAGAGACCAGCCTCTCCCTTGTGGTCTTACCAAGGACCACCCTTTCTCTCCTGGTATGACCAGAGACCGGACTCTTTCTTCTGGTCTGACCCTCAGTGAAGTCCGAATCTTCACAGAGTGGTTTCCTTCAAACCCATGCTCAGCCCTGGTTTGTCCCTGAGCTGCTGTTGTTGCTGACTGCAGCTTGTGTGGAGAAAAGGTTACGTAACTCATCTTTAATTGCCCTTTCCTGTTCACATGGACTCTACTTTTCTTTTACTGATATCAGCTCTAAACATGCAGTCAGGTCAGTCAGGATCCACCTGACGCCTGTGGCAATGACGTCTACTTCCTCTTTCTAGTTTATTGGTAAAATCCACAGATGTATTTGCTCTGTAAGCGATGCTGGTCTGCGAATCCCACAGAATCCCTTGCTTCTGCATTTTGTGAAGGCCGCTTCTACACTTCTGCTGACTGCTTACTGTTTTGCATACATGATTTTTCTGCTCTTACCTCTGACTACATCACATGAAGAGAAACGAACAGAAAAGGTCTTTGGAGGAGCGCTGTACAGCAACAATAGAGCACAGCTGATAAATAGCTTCGGGACTATACCATTGAATTATACATGGCATCTTAATTACGCTCTTTCCCAGGATTATAATGTCTACACTGTGGCAGAGGCGGCACATTATACGAGGATATGTAAAGATATTAAAAAAGCCTCTTGGATAAAGGCAATCAGCGGACATGTGCTGCTTATGATGTTACAGTGATGTAACATATAACACAACATAAAGCTTGTTTGTCGCCCCACGCGCTTTCCTGTTGCATTTGCATTTACATTAGATAAAAGATACAAGCACCTGGTGAGTTTCGGAGGGGTTTAGGGAAATGGCTGAAGCTGGAGCAAGTATATTAGAGAAAATGTGAAGACTGTTATTGGACATTGTTTTAGAAGTCAGCGTTCGGAAGGTCCTGATAGGAAATAAGATGGATCAGAATAAAATACAGTAGTTCAAGGTTCAATGTACCTATATGAACCCTTATGATCAATTAGTTTGCGACAGAAACAATATAATCTTTATTTATTTATATAGCGCCTTTCACAGACCAGAGTCACACAGCGCTTTCTCACTCCACACAGAGATGGGAGCAAGGTCGCTAGTACAGGAGGCGCATGCCAGACCTAGTGTACATGTTGTGGTAGGGGAATCCTATCCACTCAGCCGCAATGCTGCCCTATAAGGAATCAATAAATACACAATACAACAGGATTACAATGAATGGCTTAAAATACCAATGGAAATATCTTAAATCTGTTAGTTCTACATTTAGTGGTGCTATATCTGCAGCCAGTTGGAAGCGTTTTAAACTCGGCCCGCAGTGGGTGGGTGGAGTCCAATGAGATCTGCTGGGCTCATTTTAGAATCTGAGCCCTGTGGATGTCCTTAAGAGAGCAAGGCAGGTCCTAAGAAGCCGACTCAAGGGCAAGAACAAGGCCCGGGCAATCAACAGTTACACCCTGCCAGTGATCAGATACCCTGCAGGAATAATCAGGTGGCCAAAGGAAGAGATTCAGACCACAGATGTTAAAACTCAAAGGAACATAGCAGAAGTGGCTCATCTCAAGAAGTCCTACCAATGGCTAGAAAGGGCTGGCCTTCAGGACAGCGCAGAGGCACTCATCATGGCTGCACAAGAGTAGGCCCTGAGCACCAAAGCGATAGAGGCACAGATATACCACACAAGACAAAAGCTAAGGTGTCAGTTGTGCAAAGAGGGATCTGAAACAATACAACACATATTGTAGCTGCTGGCAGGGAAGGCCTACATAGATTGCAATAATGAAGTGGCTGGCATAGTGTACAGAAACATCTGTGCAGAGTATGGGCTAGAAACCCCGAGGTCTAAATGGAAAACTCCTCCAAAGGCGACTTCCAGATACAGACCGACCGAATGGTAATGGCAAACCAACTTGACATCGTGGTAGTAGACAAAGAGAAGAGGAAAGCCATGGTGGTGAACATGGCAATTCCAAGCAATGGAAAAAAGAGCTTGAAAAGCTTGAGAAATACCAAGGGCTAAGAGAGGAGCTGGAGACAGTTTTGAGCTGTCAAGGGTGGCCCATCCCGTGGAATAAAAAGCTGTGTGCGCCAAACAGAATTAATAAGATGAGAACCTTCATTCGTCCCACAGTGGGGAAATAAAAAGTTTGCAGTGCACATGAAAGGACAGTAAGTAAATATGAATAAGTATATACTATAAGTAGCTGCTATGTTTCTAAGCTAGCTGTATGATGCAGTGTCCTGAAAATGCATAACAAATTGTTATGGTATAATAGAGGTCTGACCTCTCACCTCCTTCTCCAGTGTCTGTGGGATACGAGTACGAGTCATGTCTGGACGTGGTGCTATGGGAGAAGAGGACGGCCGTGCTGCAGGGATATGAGCTGGATGCCGCTAACATGGGCGGATGGATGCTGGACAAGCACCACATGCTGGACATTCAGAACGGTAAGAGGAATGACAATTGCTGATGCTTTTACTACAGTGTGATGCTGATGTCACTCCTCACTTACGAAAAGATGGATTATTTGATGTTTTTGAGCAAAAAAGTCATGTACTTGTGTAGACATGTAAATACAGACCATGTATTTAGTTTGAAAATTGACTCTTGCTAATGTTGCTAAATTATTGAAGATTTTTAAACTGGAAATATTTTTAATCCATCCATCTTGCCCTTATCAGTTTTTTTTTGTTTTTTTTGTTGTTTTTTTACATTTGACATAGTCCTATTTTGTAATTGCCATAGACAAGGCCCCAACACCTCAAAGAGCTTCTTCTTGTGTACTGGTTAAAAATAATGAGCCTCCCTTGGCACTGTTGGCAAACATAACCACACAGCATTTTGGTATCATTAGCTTTTGATTACCATACATCCATTTTCTTCCGCTTCATCCATTGCCGGGTCGCGGGGGCAGCAGTCTAAGCAGAGACGCCCAGACTTCTCTATCCACACATCGGAAGGACCCCAAAGCGTTCCCTAGCCAGCTGTTAGACATAGTCCCTCCAGCGTGTCCTGGGTCTTCCCCAGGGTCTCCCGGTAGGACGTGACTGGAACACCTCCCTATGGATGGGTCCAGGAGGAATCCGGAACAGATGCCCGAGCCACCTCAACTGGTTCCTCTCGACGTGGAGAAGCAGCGGCTCTACTCCCAGCTCCTTCCACGTGACTGAGCTCCTCACCCTATCTCTAAGGGAGCGCGTAACCACTCTGTGGAGGAAGCTCATTTTGCGATTTTGTTCTTTTGGTCATTACTCAAAGCTCATGACCATGAGCGTGAGGGAATGAAGATTCACTCATGAACAAGACCCCGAGATACTTTAACTCCTCCACTTGAGGAAAGACCTCTCCACCCGCTTGGAGAGGGCAAGGCACCTTTTATGGTCGTGCACCATGGCCTCGGATTTGGAGCTGCTGATTCTCTACCCAGGCGCTACTCAGTGCATGTTGTGGTTTGTTGGAGCCAACAGGACAATATCATCAGCAAACAGCAGAGATGAAATCTTGTGGTAAATTCTGTCTGTAAAGACTGTGAACAGAACTGGTGACAAAGGGCAGCCTTGGCGGAGTCTAACATGCCCCGGGAACAGGTTGGACTTACTGCCCGTGATGTGAACTCATCTCTGGCATACATGACATACATGATTTCTCTAAAGCCTTCTCCAAATCAACAAAGCACAGGTTGGTCGAACTCCCATGAACCCTTGAGTATCTGATGGAGAGTATAGAGCTGATCCAGTGTTCCACGGTCGAGACAAAAACCAAACCACACTGCTCGTCCTGAATCCAAGATTCGACCATCGGTCGAAGTCTCCTCTCCAGTACCTTGGAGTAGACCTCACCTGGGAGGCTGAGGAGTGTGATCCCACGATATTTGGAACACACCCTCCGGTCCCCCTTCTTGTAGAGAGGGACCACCACCCCAGTCCGCCACACCATTGGCACTGCCCCCGGGGGCCACGCTATGTTGCATAGACGTGTCAGCCAAAGCAGTCCTACAACGCCCAGACACTTTAGATAATCAGGACGGATCTCGTCCACTCCCGGAGCCTTGCTACCTTGGTGACTTCAGCCAGGGGGATGGAAGTATCCGCTCCCAACATCCTCTGCCTCCAAAACGGAGGATGTGACGGAGGGATTGAGGAGAACCTCTAAGTATTCTTTCCACCCCCCAACAATATCCCCAGTAGAGGTCAGCAGCTCTCCACCCGCACCATACACAGTGTTGGCAAAGAACTGCTTCCCCCTCCTGATGTGTCAGACGATTTGTCAGAATCTCTTTGAGGCCCCCCGATAGAGAGCCCGGGCAGCGGCACGCTTGGCCTGCCAGTACTAGACAACTGCCTCAGGAATCCCATACCATCCTGGCTCGATAGGACTCCTTCTTCAGCCTGATAGCTTCCGTCATCACCGTGTGTGGAATGATTGGAACAATATCTGAACTCTGAACATTGTAAAGTGTTTTGGGTGACCTTTGTCTGTAAAAATGGGCTATATAAATAAATATTACTTACTTATTTACTACCGGTGTCCACCACCAGGTTCAGGAATTTCCGCCGGGACTAGCACCAGACCCTGCGACCACAGCTACGAGCTGCCGCGTGTCGGCGATAGAGGTGGAGAACATGGTCCACTCAGACTCAAAGTCCCGGTCCCGGCAGAGGAGGGGGACATTTGATTTTCAATTCAACTCAATTCATTATATCTTTGTACAGCACTAAAATCACAACAGAGGTTGTCTTGGAGGATTTTACAATGTTGTAGTTTCGGTGACAAAAGATCAGAGAATCAAACAGAGGCAATGAAATATCTCCAACATCATCATCATGCTTCAGTAAACATATTTCATAAAACTCTTGAACAATCTTTAAAAAACGTCTTAATTCGACCATTGAATGGTTTTCAATATGTAATATGTAATGGTAGTGTTGTGGAATTTTTGTGGAGAGTAAAGGACACAATGATAATAAAATAAACAACCAAGAGCTGTAAAACAATCAAAGTGTGGTTTATTATCTTAATACAACTGTCAACCGCGTGGCAGGTCTCGAGTAGATCTGCTGACTAGTGCTAACTCTCTCCCGTATATATGTGATGGAACAAAGAAAAGAGTCTATCTATGGCGTCTCTGAGTCCGAGTTTAAGTGATAACTGTGGCTCAAACCCCCTCTCTGATGACGACTTACTCTGATACAACTCTGATATTAAGAAGAGAAATCAGTATGACCAGACACCGTGACCCTCGGTCCAGATATCAAGCTAGCATCTGTTTCTCTCCCTTCCTTGGCCTCGCGTCTCTACAGAACAACAGATAGTTAGCTTGACCTTTGTCCCAGAGTGCATAATATCATTTCAATTTGGAGAGACGTGAAACAAGAAGCTTTTGAGTATTTATTGGGAGGAGGTTTGGCGCCCTAGGCCCCGGTGCGGCCTTCAGATCGGAGGGGCTCTGCGATGGAGCATGCCAATCCCCCGGGACCTAGGCACTGGTGGCGGCATTTGGCAGCGGGAAGCAGATTGAAGGCAGAATGAAGCAGGGTGAAGAGGAGGAGGAGGGGAGGCGGTGGCTGCAGCTTCAAGAGGCCGAGAATGGGAGTTCCTCCGCTTTTAAGCAGCTTGCCTGGCTGGACCGGTGATTGGAAGGGGGCGTTTGCCGTGCGATAGGCTGGGGATGAGAACCGGCCTGGAGGGGTTACCTTTGGCTGACGTCTACCAAATTGAACTTACGCTGGCTGCATTTCAATTTGGAGAGACGTGAAACAAGAAGCTTTTGAGTATTTATTGGGAGGAGGTTTGGCGCCCTAGGCCCCGGTGCGGCCTTCAGATCGGAGGGGCTCTGCGATGGAGCATGCCAATCCCCAAAAAGGTTGTGAGTTGATGGAGTTTTGCAGCCTGGTTTGAAGGGGACAGATGTGACCGCTATCTATTGTGACCAACTTGCGCAGTCTCTGCCGAGCAGTCTCTGCCGAGCAGTCTCTGCCGAGCAGTCTCTGCCGAGCAGTCTCTGCCGAGCAGTCTCTGCCGAACAGTCTCTGCCGAACAGTCTCTGCCGAACAGTCTCTGCCGAACAGTCTCTGCCGAACAGTCTCTGCCGAACAGTCTCTGCCGAACAGTCTCTGCCGAACAGTCTCTGCGCGGCGACCATTGCTTGCGGATACTCAGCTGCTGCGACCATTGCTTGCGGATACTCAGCTGCTGCGACCATGCTTGCGGATACTCAGCTGCTGCGACCATGCTTGCGGATACTCAGCTGCTGCGACCATGCTTGCGGATACTCAGCTGCTGCGACCATGCTTGCGGATACTCAGCTGCTGCGACCATGCTTGCGGATACTCAGCTGCTGCCGCCACCAGGAAGTTTGCAAGTGTTTTATGGAGATGCAAAGAGGCGCTGGGCTGCCAGGATGGTCGAAGTGTCAGGCCTGATGTATGAGGAGAGGGCCGATGATGACCAGCGGCCCAGCTGCTGGAGGGCGGAATAGGGGAGCCCAAGGGACGCGGCGCGCGTGGCGGCGCCTATCCGAAGGAGTGGGCTGTGTAGAGATGGGGAGACAGGTTACAAGCAGCAGTACGGACTTGAGTTGGGCTCTGAAACAGACGGATGACATTGGAAGGTTTATCGGGAGCGCGGAGGAGATGCTTTGAGGGAAGGCGTCGGGCCAGGGCCCGGCGAACCACTGGACCTGGAAGAGACCCCCAAAACCCACGGACGGGGCTGCGTCCGTGAAGAACCGCAGGGCATCTGAGGACGGGATGACGTCACTGTAAAAAAAGATACACCGTCCCAGCGGCTCTGCAGACGGGACCCGAATGCCAGGTCGGAGCGGCACCCCGCGTCCGGGCAGACAGCGTCGTTGAGGGAGGAGACGGAGCCAGATATAAGCAGTTCCATATACAAGCAGTTCCATCTATAAGCAGTTCCATATACGAGCAGTTCCATATACGAGCAGTTCCATATACGAGCAGTTCCAATATGAGCAGTTCCAATATGAGCAGTTCCAATATGAGCAGTTCCAATATGAGCAGTTCCAATATGAGCAGTTCCAATATGAGCAGTTCCAATATGAGCAGTTCCAATATGAGCAGTTCCAATATGAGCAGTTCCAATATGAGCAGTTCCATATATTAGCAGTTCCATATATTAGCAGTTCCATATATTAGCAGTTCCATATATTAGCAGTTCCATATATTAGCAGTTCCATATATTAGCAGTTCCATATATTAGCAGTTCCATATATTAGCAGTTCCATATATTAGCAGTTCCATATATTAGCAGTTCCATATATTAGCAGTTCCATATATTAGCAGATCCATATATTAGCAGATCCATATATTAGCAGATCCATATATTAGCAGATCCATATATTAGCAGTTCCATATATTAGCAGTTCCATATATTAGCAGTTCCATATATTAGCAGTTCCATATATTAGCAGATCCATATATAAGCAGGTCCAGATATAAGCAGAACCAA